CCCAGAGCTCCCATCCAAAACATGCTGTTTATTTTTAATTGTGTTTCCCATCACAGGAGAGTCTGTGATGAACAGACAGAGAGTAAAGCAGAGTGTCCTATCATCAGCACTGTTCAGTATGTTCCAGATACACACAGGGTTTGACTACATCATGCAATAGCTTAGAAATATGATAATTGAAAGAAACAAATGACTTACAAAGCAGTTTGAGTATTGATTGAGAAACTGTCGCCTCCCCCACTGCTTGTGTGTGCAGAGAAACTCACCTGGTAAAACATGTGGACTCTGTTCTATACCCTCAACATCATCATAGTCCTCTGGTGTGTCCTCTGTCTCCATAAACCCTGAAACAGGAACAAAGGATTCAAGGTAAGACAAATGTATCTGCAATATTACAGTTTAATTATAAACTAGTGACAACCTTTACCACCTACAGTACATATGATTTATACAATCCATAAGAAATTATAAAGGGAAAATATACTAAATATTTAAAACGTGTAGATAAAAAGTACATACGTATCTCTGATCATCCCATCCAGAGTGTACCCTATGCTGCAGCCCCACCCCCCATCTTCATGACCAAGATAAGCGGTTAGAAGATGGATGGATGGATGGATGAACGGATGGATGTTTTTAAATGGTCCAAATTGTAAACAGTCCAAATGTTTAGCTTACAGTAGGTATCTGCAGTGGGTCGCACCAGCTAAGCGCAAGTTCAATCTCAGCCTACGATAGACGTAAACTGTCCCTACGATCAAGTTTACGCAATACTAAAGAATAATCGGTTGCCCTACACAACTAGTTTCAATGTAGCACTTAAAAATTATAAGGTAAATTTTACACTACCTTAACATTAGGTGGAAGGTCCATCGTAACAAAAAGTTGTGAAAATGGCACAAATGTGAAATACTAACTAGGGCATAACTTAAGTAGGAGTAATGAAACAGACAAATAAATGCAGCACTAGTTTCAAACTAGCTAGTTTCAACGAAAGACTTCAAGTATACTTTACACCTGAATTTATGACCGAAGTTACAGTAAGCTGGGGCAACCCACTACTGAAGCTGTATTAAAGTGATTGAACTGTTTTATTTTAACACAGTAAATTGTTGCTGTATAAACCTGCATGGGAAGGTTATTTCCTCATTGTCGCCCACATCATCATAAGCATATGGCAGATCCTCAGAAAAGACACTTCCTGTAAAGGAGAGAGTCATTCAGGCCTGAACTCACTGAGACGCTACCTGTGAGATTAGAGTGACTGATGCTCACACCAGGAAAGCTAACAAACAATCCATCACCATTATGCTCTTCCTTCACATCTTTATCTACCTGACAGCTTCACTACACGTGGTAAAATAAATCATTCTTCCCCAGTGCAAAGAGGACAAAGAGATGATCTTACCTTTATGGATCAGGTTGTATTCTACCTCCTCATAGATGGGCTCCTGTGGACTGGGGAGCGACCCCATGTACATAGCTATGGGGGTGGACACACAGAGACAGCGGCTGTGAGCTCTGAGAGAAAGGACTGCCCTCCATCACTTCAAAGATATTCTGCACTGGTGCCATATCTGGGCCGTCAGAAAATGGAAATTACCGCTAATTTGGCTATTTTTGCAAATATATTTAAAGTCATTCTGAGATTCTGACTAGTTCATGTGCTAAAATAAGCCAAGTGAGCGCGTGTAGACTGTGTAGAATCCCAGCCATATCCCCATCTACCTCTTTTCAGCTCTCGGTTCTGGTACAGCTGATTAACAAGTACAGCCAACAGCAGGAAGAGAAGAGCTCCGAGGACCAGGAAGACCACAAACGGAACGGACAGGATTTGTCGAGAGGGAGCGCTAGGT